CGTGAAAAGTGCTATATCAAATGCAAGGATTATTATTATTATTATAAAACCATTTAGCTTGCCATTGAGAGCGCTGTCTGACAAGCTTTCCCGCCGCTTGACCAGCTTCTTATTCTTAAAATTTAGTGTGTCCCATCATATTTCGATTCTTTTTCTTCTCACTGACATATGCCTTTCTGTTCCTGGTCTGACCTTCTCTTGTTGGGCTGCAATTCTGCAAGGGTTGGTTTCCCTACAGTTCTCTACCCAACTGGCCAATGTTCCCACAGGAGCCTTGACAGTGAGTGCTGACCGGCCACTTGACTATAGATGGTTTCACAGCCAAGCCTGACAGCTCCTCACAAATGCAAAGCCAATAATAATATCATAATAATCCTTGCATTTGATGTAGCACCTTATCATGTTTTTGAAATGTCTCAAAGAGCTTCACAGGATATACTGTAAAGTGTAGTGACTGTATGTTTTGTGGGAGATACGCAGCAGCCAATTGCGCACAGCAGTGTCCCACAAACAGTTGTGGATTAAGTGACCAAATTATTATTATTTATTTTATTATGATTTTTTTTGAAGAGGTTATTACCCCCAGAAATCAATCTACCAGTCGGGTTCCTACTTACTGTAAGGCAAACACAGGCGTGTGGAGTAAGGAAATTTGCCTGAGATTTTGCCCTGCTCGGGAATCGAACCTGGATCCTCTCGCTTGCGAGACAAGCGTGCTAACCAATATACTACAGCACTGTAGAGGATCAAGAGAAGGAATTTCTCTCATGGCTGGCTTTCCACTCCCTAATTCCAGGAAGACTAGGGCCAATTTAGCCTCTGCACAACACGGTATAGTCCATTCAAACCAATGAATTCCTGGTCTGTAACGCTGAAGTACACCACCATGTCCTTTTGGAAGATTTCTTAATTTTATTCCTTAATAAGAAATCCTGTTGAATTCTTCTTCACCTGAGAGGCTGGGGGGTGAGAAATGCCTATCTGGAGGTGGGTCATGTTAGAATGGAGTTCCATGGGTTGGAGTAATTTCCAGTTATCAGAAGGAGGCCCCATTTGCACAATTTAGAGTCCTTAATAATCAGAAGCATAAAAAAGCATAAAAAGAGAATTGTGTGATATGTCAGACTGATACAACCAACAATGAAACTATTCTGGATGTTGCCTTGTGTAGTGTTGGGCAATGAGAGTAAATAATATTGATCTCTCACACTGCAGGCAACCTAGACCCTCATACACACATTCATCACATCCAGGCTTGACTGTGCAAATTCCCTGCTTGTCGGCCTCCCCAACTCCTCCCTCCATAGGCTGAAGATCATCCAGAACTCTGCAGCCCATGTCCTCTTCCACATCAGGCTCTGAGACCCTGTCACCCCCAGCCTCACCCAACTCCATTGGCTTCCTGTCACACAGAGGATACAGTTCAAGATCCTGGTCCTCACTTTCAAAGCCCTCCATTGTCTCTTGCTCCCCCTTACCTCTGTGACCTCCTAACCCTCTACCAGTCTACCCACTCCCTCCGCTCAATGGGCAAAGGCTTGCTTCACGTCCCCTGCCTCGCCCACCCCACTATTGGCGGTGGGCCTTCAGCCACTCTGTCCCCACTCTCTGCAACTCCATCCCACAGCCCCTCCGCCTCGCCCCCTCCCTTGGCTCCTTCAAGACCCATCGCAAGACCCTCTTTTTCAACCGTGCCTTCGATCATCCTCCTTCCCCCCCTGCCCTCCACCCTCCCTGATCTCGACCCCCAGCTCGGGTCCAAAACACTGACTGTCCAGCACCTTGGGATGTCCTCCTGACGTGAAAGATGCTGTACAAATGTAATTTTGTTGTTGTAGTTGTTGTTTAGCAGGCTTAACAGAAGGAGATAAAAAGATGAGTGCAGATATATTGTGTCTCATAATAGGGTTCACTCTACTATTATAGTCCTAAACTAACATATATGCCATTTATAATTGATATAATATTTTTTAATGGCTTAATTAAGTGTTACTATATAATTCAAAGGCACATTTTGGAGCATCTTCTTTCTGAATCAGCAAATAATGCCATTTCATGAGCTGCATTATTCCGTATTATTGATCGCCTCGCTCTCTCTTTCCCTCGTTCGTGAGACATAGACAGACAAAGCAATCCCTTTAGCTTCCAGCAAACTATTTCGCACAGTGTGGTAAATAACATTTCAAACTAATTATGTTATGGGCTGTTATCTGGTGCCTTTATTTTGTAAATGCAAAAGCAATTAAGATGATATGGTGCTTTACCCCCAATCAGATTTACTCGAGCGTAACATACCTCATTATGCATTATCATAAATTAGAACTCACAAGAAAACTAATCACAGAACAGGATCTACCTATTCCATGGAGCTATTAATCATGAGATATAACCTGCTGTGTTATTTAAAAGGAAATAGTACAAAGGAATTATGTTGAACAGTTCACAGGTTAGTACTATTTAAGCAGCCTAATAATACATCTACAAATGCCTTATTGTGAGTGTTTAATTGTCTGATATGCTAAAACACTGAGGTTGCTGTCCTGCATTTCATACATTGGGGTCTTCTTTGAATTGTTCAATCTTTCAGCAGTGTATTACCAACATAATGAAATATAGCACAATCTGTAACAGAACAGCATAATGAAGTTCATTGAGCTAATAAAAGAATAAATTAAATCAGTCACAAGAAGTATTTGGAGTTTTGTAGGAAACCTGCCTTATTGTTATTCATGATTGTATGAAATGCACAAATTGCACATTTATTTACTTCCCTCATTTATCGTCCCAAACGCTTTTGTCACAAATACCAGACCATTTCCCCACAATGGTGACACAATCATCATTTGGTGAAATGTGATAATTTAATCAAGTTAAAACACTTTTCAAAATGCTTTTTAATTGTAAGGTAATTGTCAAGAGCAGAGCATACTCAGAAAGGGCTTTAGATTTGTTTTGTGCTTTTTGATACAAATGACTATTAACAACCAGAGTAAGATAGACATCCTATTTGTGCATGCAATGTAAGCAACGCTTCATGAGGTATTTGTTCACCTATGGTAGAGAGCAAAGCTTCAAGAATAGGTAGGCAAGACAGATGACCCAGGAATAACTGCAGCTTCTTCTTGAAAGGATAACCTCTTCTGTTGATGGGAGGAAGGGAGGAAATAAATAACATCTAGAAAAGGAAGAACTAAAATTAATGGATTCAAATTAGGTTGCACAGCTGACAGAGTTTCATGATCAACTAAAAATTGTTTTAATTGATATAATAACAGTAAACAACATAGGAACGAGGAGTAAAGCATTCATCCTGTCGAGCACTCTACAAAGCAAAGTGGGAAGACATGTTAATTTTACTGCAACGTGTACAGAGAGGTTGCTTGCAAGATCCCCTCGAGGGCTTCTGTCAAGACTGAGGAGCCCCAGCTTGTCTATCTGGGAGATGGCAAAACGTAGCTGAGTTCTGGACTCCTTCACATTTCTCTCCAATGTCACATGAAAGCCAGCATGTAATTCTGCAACACGGCATGTTACACATCGACTTCTGTTGAAAGCATGTGCATTCCTATTCAGCTCAGTTTTATCAGTTAGATTGGCATGCCTTTGCCTGTACCAGTGGACCCCACGTTACTGTCCTTTCCTCACCAGTTCTCAGTGTCTCATCCTGGGATTCCTCAGCAATATCAACATTTCCCACAGAATAAGTATCCGTACTGCTTTGCTTTGAGCAGTTGTATTTAAATGTTCATGTTCAGTGTGTGATGCTCCAGCAGCAAACACTACTGGGTTCTTCTTGATCTCTGAAGAGAGCAGATGGTTCATTATCAGTACTAATTCACTCATAACCATTAGGGTCCTGCATTACACAACTATACTACTCGCAATACAACTGAAACAATGTTAATGCAAATCATTTACAACTTGTAACTTCACTAATGTGCATATAGGTCCTGTCTTCTCACTGCACACTGCAATGTGTGGGATTATTCCAGGAGTGGACTCGCCCGGCCTTTTCACGCTCTTTCCTTTTTTATTGGACCAGAGAGTGTCCAATGCACAAGAATGTCTGCTTTACCTTGGTACTTTTTCTGAAAGTCGTGGAATTTGGTTCACCCTCAGAGAGTCACAGTGTTGTCTTTGTCTGTCACCTCGTTTCACATTTAGTGACTCCTTTGCATATGTCGGAAAGGAGGAGTGGAGTGCACCTCCTCCATCAAAATTATCTTCCATTCCATTACAGCGTCCAGCAGAGCTTGTCCAAAACGCTGCTTTTGCAGTTTTGATATTCTGCCAATTTAACTTCACAATCTGCATTTCACAGCTGCACTCAGACTACTTTTTTTAATTTTATGAGCTTAAGTGCTTTGTTAGGTTCATCAGAAATGTATTACCAATTAGTGCTCAATTTAAGGGCATTGTTTTACTGTATGGCAGCTGAGACTGCCCACTCTTAGTTAAAAATCCCCATTCTTGTTAGAAATAGAAATAGAATATGTTAGCTCTTCAGTGAGATGAATGTAGACCCACCTGTAATACAGACACATCTGCTGGAAAGACACATTTGTGGGCAACATATCTGTAGTAGGCAGAAACGTTTTTATGTACTTCAGCAATGTCTGCCCAGCAATCCCGAGATAAAATTGATCATTTACTTCTTGGCTGCCTGTGAGACATTGCTGTGAGCGAATTGGCTGCTACCAATTCAAAACCTACAAAATACACAGTGGCTACACTCTGCAGTAAATCATGTGAAGTGCTTTGAAACGTTCGGTGATGTGATAAGACGCATCACCAAATGTGAGGATTATTAATATACATGCAGGCATCTCCCATGGTGAAGGAATAGTTCTGTTTATTCCTTCTCAGAACTCTTGCTCTTCCTCTCGTCAACATTTATGAAGTTGCTTCTTCTGGCAAAGTTGTTTGTTAGTGAGTCCAATGACCAGCTCCTAGTCTCCTGTAATTCAATTTTGTTTTGTATGTTACTTTATCTTTTCCAGGCTACGACTTCAAAACATCTCTGTGAATGAAGTGACACCTCCAAGCAAAGGCAAAGAGGTGAGAAAATCTATCTTAAAAGAGGGGCTGTCAGTGGAATGGGGCTTAAAAGTGCTTTGTTTCATGCCTATAACTGCTAACAAGTTAATATCCTCTGTTTCTGTACAGATACCATCAACCTGACCCAATATATTATGTCGCTCTTTTCATTGACTGCAAAGCCTATAGATAGAGCTGGAGGCATGGCCCGTGGGTCCGAAACTTGAATCATTTTGTGAACTTCTTCTGCCGCAAGGAGATTTCGTACAGTTGTTAGAAGATGGATCATTTTGATGGGTATCAGGACAAGGCAGGAGAATATAATGTACTCAATTGCTGCAGTATTTGGAATGAATTATAGCAGAAAATGGTGATAAATATCTAAGACTCAGAGCAGATTAATGCGCAGAGATAATTTAGGTAGTGACTGACAGGTGAGAAAAGGAAAGGAAAGGCCCTGTCAGTAGGCCATTGTTAAGAGGTCATTTTGTCACTAAATGATTTAATCCACTGCAGCAAAGCATTAAAGTCATCATAAAACTTTATGGCAACGATGACTATAGTCATCATGTCATAACATTGCCACCTGCAAGGATTGTAATGTCCATTCTATGAGGAGAAATTCCACCTGGGCCTTGATTTACTTATGCAGCATTCTAAAAAGTCTAGAATTTGAGAATATTGAATTTAGTTTTAACTTTGCAGTTAGTTTGCTTTAGTTCATAAATTAATTTAGAGTAACAATATTAAATTGGTCACTTCAATCCACGACTGTTTGTGGGACACTGCTGTGCGCAATTGGCTGCCGTGTTTGGCCTACAAATATACAGTCAATTCACTTTACAGTATATTCTGTGAAGCACTTTGAGACGTCTAGAAGACGTGAAAAGTGCTATATCAAATGCAAGGATTATTATTATTAATGGAGAAATTTAGAATATGTCAAATTCTGGGAACTATAAACGTTCAATAAATGAAGTCTAGACCTAGATGCAATTTCTCTCCAATTACAATAATAATAAACAATAACAATAATCATTATATTTGGTATAGCACCTTTAATGTCAGGAGAATGTCTCAAAAGGCTTCACAGGATATATTGCAATGTTCAGTGTTTTTTGTAGGCAAATGTGGCAACTAATTTACACACAACAATGTCATACAAACAACCATGAAGCGAATATCATCTCCGGCAGCACGGAAAGTGACAGTAAGAGAGGTAGAGCGGGAGGTAAAGACACCAATCATATCCAGGCCCTCTTCACACCACAGAGCCCTAAACCCTACCCTAGTTAGTTTATTGGCTAATCCATATGGTATGAGGCCACACAAAGAGTGGTGGGAAGAGAGGCAGAGTAGGAAGTATGAGGCAGTGCGGAAACGCAACAGAAAGAAAGTCTTTCAAAAAAGGCATTTTTGCATAGCTTGCGAAACATTCCAAAGCATGATTTGGCTTAAGGCCCCAGATACCGTAATCTGGCCCTGATGGCACCAGTTTCAACAAGTTATAGTCTGATATCATCCCAAGCAAACTTGGTACTGGCTAGTTCTGTGTAACTGTGTATTAGCATAAATTAGAAACCATTAATACGAAACATATTCAGGCGTATCTGCTTTGCAATGCACTTATATCAATGTGTCCGCGTGCATTTGCGCATTTGCATACTTGCAATATACATACTTGTTTGCACAGTTAAATATTTTTTGATCAGCACTACAGTTTGGCTTTCCTGCTCAAATCAACTCAAATATATATTTTGGCACAAATGTCACTTATCATATTTCCCACATAAAATAGGCATTGTTTCTCTAGCTAGTAATATGCTCTCACTCAGGCTCTGTTTCTGGAATTCTGTCAATCACCTGTTAAACTGCAAATGTAATGTCCTCCCACAAGGGAAGCCTGAAGGGCAGCAAGACTAAATGCAGTGAGGAGCCAATCACATGATAACCCACCAACGGCGGTCTATTCATTCATTATCCAGTTATTGAATAGCTAATGGCCACAATTTTTTTTACAGTGAATTAAATTCAGCACAGAATTGGATTAGCAAATTTTAATACAAAGTTACCTAGCGTGCGCCTCTTCCTATGATTAGCAAGAATATTTGGTATTTTATAAACTAAAATGCAGTTTCAGTTTGTCATCATTATACTTATGCAGGCAGGAGACACTGCGAACAGCTAATTTATTGCAAACGTTATAAACCTTTTAAAAAGTACATGTTTCCACACTCCTAAAATACTGAAGGATGGATTTCTCTCCGTAATGATTCTGAGCAATGTAATGATTTTTGGCTGCTATCATATCGAGGTAATGAAGATCCCTGATTTATGGATCAATGTTAACATGGATCATTTTAAATGTAATTATATTCCCAAAATAATGACTCAAAAGCCACGATTAAAATCCCACATGAAATAGAGTATCTCCTCTTAATGTTTTTAACGGCACATCTGATGTTGAAAGTAACACAGCAATTCTACCATCATCCTTGCAGTATTCATAACAAACTGTCAACTCACATAGCTCGGGGGAAGGGGAGGTTCAGTGGGAATTTCAGCACATTGCAATATCTGTGAGGATCTAACACCATGTAGATGATGGAGAGGTGGTGTGGATTGTGAAACATCATCAGATATTAATTCTACTCTCCACAGGTGCCTAACATATGATGGGAATGTGGAAATTGCCTCTCTTGGTTTCTAACACTGCGCCTCTTTCTGGTTGTACTATATGTAAAGTCATATGATCCAGACTGACTGCCCTTTCAATCGGGCAATGATTGACGCAAGAATCAAATGTGTATTTACCAGGAAACATTCTTTATACTTTACTCCACTATGTTTATTTCAGTTTTCATTCTACCCAAAATATACATATATGGGCAGACTCTCAGTTTATGTTGTGAAAAGATTTAAATGAACAATGCAAGCCCTATTAGTGTACGATATGAATAGATGTGTGGACAAAATCCCTAGGTTTGTTCCCAGGATATGACCTGAGGGTGTAAAACAAAGCAAGCAATTAGAATAATATCAGCACTGACACACACTGACTTCAGGGATGTTAAGCGAAGCAATAAAAAAACTATTTGAATAATATCAACACTTACTGCACCCAAATCTGGATTAAGGGCAACTTAAACGACTACTGCTGTAGAATGATTTTATGTTTGTTGTAAATAAATTAAATTCGGAAAATAATACAAGCTATATTAATCTTTTAAAATAATACAAAACTCCTTTTGTACATTTTTAATTAAAACCATAAAATGAAGTACACAATAAAAACTTGTCACAATGAATACACTTTAAAACAGGGAAAGGAATAACGCCTTTGCAATTTTAGTCAGATTAATTAAAATTGTACAGGTTTTTTATTGTTTACTCATGCTTAAAAAGCGAAAAGGTAATAAATATTGGTGAGTTTGCCACACTTTGCAGTTAAATAATATGGATGGGCTTTGGACTTCTAATCCTGTAGTTTAGTGGTTAAAGCACTCACCTCGCAAGCAAGAAGATCTGGGTTCGATTCCCGAGTGGGGCGACACCTTTGGCAAGTTTCCTTACTCCACACGCCTCTGTTTACCCAGCAGTAAGTAGGAACCCGGCTGTTAGTTGATCGGCTGATCGCTTTCAAGGGGTAAATCCCTGGAAAAAATAAGAAGAATGTGGTCACTCAATCCAGGATTGTTTGTGGGACACTGCTGTGTGCAATTGGCTGCCGTGTTTCGCCCACAAAATATACAGTCACTACACTTTACAATATATCCTGTGAAGCTCTTTGAGACATCTTGAAGACATGATAAGGTGGTAGCTCAAATGCAAGGATTACTATTTTTATGTATACAAGCTTAAGATTTCTGCACTTCAGAGCTTTCAACAACAACAACAACAACTTGCACTTACATAGCACCCTCCAAGCAGGGTAACAGAGCCTGACTCCAAGCTGGGGGCGAGGGGGTGTGGGGGGGGGGGGGGGGCGGGCAGGGAAGGTGACCATAAGTATGGTCGAAAAGGAAGGTTTTCAGGCGGGACTCAAGGATAGCAAAGAAAGAGTTAATGACCAGCTCAAACAAACACGGGATCCTACTCTAAATCATTCTGTTGACATAACAGTCACAGTTGTAATAAAGAGGCATCTGTAGCGGCAAAACATTATATACTGCATGTACTTCAGCAACACAGATGACTCATTGTGAAGGAACAGTTGTTGTATTATACAAATGTAATGTTGTTGTATTCCTCCTCAGAGCTCTTGCCTATGTCTTCCTTCTGTAAACTTTTATCAAATCGCGTTCTTCTTCCGATTTTGATTGACAGGAAGCCCAATGCCCAGCTCTTGGTATTCTCTAATTCAGCTAATTTCTCTGCATGTAATTTTGCCTTTTCACAGACAGAATTACAATACTCCTTTGGGACACAATGAGAACCTTCAAGCAAAGACACAGTGGTGGGAAGATCTATCTTAAACTACTACAGAAATGTATTTCCTCCTGACATCTGCACCCAACTGAACATTTATGGAATAACCTGTACAAAGAAGTAATAGTTCAGTTATACAAGAAACACTTGATTTCCTACAAGCTGGATATGTCGTTGGATGTGGAAGCACCATTCCGAAACATGTTTAGTATTGCTATGAAGTTGTCTATTTGATTAAGAACCAATACCAGAGTCAATTCAAACTACAATCTAGTTTTAGAGAAAGGTTGAGCTTTCTTTCTCGTGATACTTTCAGACAGAGTACTCCGTTGCTTTGTTGATGAGTGAAATATATTGCACAGCGCCTGGAAAAGGGCAAAAAAGATTGAATCAACAGTTGAAGTTATTACATTGCAAAGAACAAGGTTTTTGTAATCTGACATTCATTGAACATACAAAACCTTGGAATTCTTTTACAAAATATATCTGAAAATCTTTTATGCTGACCTATTACATTGTTCCCATGTCATGTGTATCTGTGGCACTGTAACCTGGATGCATTGAATAAAGCTTTCCATTACTTCAACGCTTTTTTCTCTTAGATAAATTTGTAACGAAGAATTAAGCAAGACTGGTTTTGTCCAAAGTATCAGATGTTCAGTACAACACACATCCAGAACACTGAGCTGCCTTGACCTCTCTGATAATGGTTACAATGTTAGCTACCAGAGAAATAAATATTATAGATCATAGTCAAAGTGATATGTTTTGAGAACTACCTTGAAGCCAATTGTACTATTGATGCCAATAAAAAACAACAAAATTACACTTATAGAGCGCCCTTCACATCAGGAGCGCTGAACAGTCAGATGTCGGGGCCAGGTTGTTTATTGTTAAGAACAATGTGCAATATACCATGAAGAACACATGTCAGTCCTTATGTTTTACACTCATTTGCTTTTGAAAAGAAAGGAGACTCCCACGTAATCTAACCGAGGATCACGAAGGATACTGACATAACTTGTTCATTATTCATTTCAGAGAAGAATTTGAACACCAGGGGAAATGGGATAAGTGAGCTCATGTGTCTTTGATTCAAAGTGCAGGAGAAACAATTTCAAAAATTTCACAAGCCATCTATTGCTCAGCACCGTGATTTTCACAAAGATTTAATCAAGATAGTAAATAATGAGGAGATATCTTTGATATGTACTACAGTAAATTCGAGATAACTCGTCACTCCAAGGGAAAACAGCTCAGCAACTAGTTATCCAGAGTGGTGAATTAAGCACCTACACCAACACACACTGTACCTGTGTAATGTGAGCAGTTATCAGTGTAACTAAGTGGCCCCCGGGTTATCAGTTTATTTGTTAAAACCCGTTTATTAAGTTTATGTATAGGCATATTTGTCTTCAAAATGCACTTAGTTTCTGTTTCCTTGTGCTTATTTCTGTTACTGTATTGGAAACTGCACTTCTCAGGAAATGTATTGTAGTATATTAAAATACAAAGCTACTACTGTACTTCCAGGTTATATGTTAAAACTAAACATCTTTATGTATTAAACAATTTACATAAAACAAAATACACTGGACTATATTCTTGACATTTTTAACATGACAAAACCTGGCAGAGAGTCAGATATCACTCATCTATTGTCCTATAAATGCACAACTTTCTCTCCCCAACTTGCAAAGTACTATATTTCATACAGAAGCACATGTTCACCAGTGAGTTTAACCACATTGCCATTCTAGAAATACAATTGTAGTAATATTACTGAAAGCAACAATCAGAAATTAAAAAAGTAATAATAATAATAATCCTTGCATTTGATATTGTGCCTTATCACATCTTCGAGATGTCTCAAAGCCCTTCACAGAATATACTGTAAAATGAATTGACTATAGACTTTGCGGGTGAAATACGGCAGCCAATTGCGCAAACACAAACAGTTGTGGATTGAGTGAACAATTTATTATTATATTTTATTACTCCCGCAAAAGCGATTCACCAATCAACTACTTACTGCTAGGTTAACAGAGGCGTGTGGAGTAATGAAACTTGCCCAATATTTCGCTCTGCTGGGAATCGAACCCAGGTCATTTGCTTGCGAGGCGAATGCTCTAACCACTGAGCTCCAGGATTCCAAGTAGCTTGCAAAATGCAGTAATGATTTCAATGATCTACTTGGGAAAAATTGTCTGTGATATTCTTTTGTGGGGCCTCAGATGAAAAAAACTGTCACGAACCGCAGAAAGGCGGCTAAGCTCGTGTAAAGTATCATCCGCCCCTTCCAACGTGGCTCTGATTGACGGTCTCGGTTGTCAGTCAGTGTCAGGGGGCAAGATGAGGGGATGTGATTGCAGTGGATCAGAGAGCTGCAGGCATAGTAAAGACAAGGCCGCTGATCACGAGCGTTCACTTCGGGTCCTGGCGAGTTATCTGATTGAGTTTACATTGAGTTCAATGATGGGAATTTCTAGAATGTGATTAGTTATGTATTAAATGGAGTGACAAATCAAGAGATCCTTATTAACATTTTGCAATGGAGTGTGACCGGGATAATGACAGCATGGCTACTTAAGTGGTAGTGACTAGTTTCTCTTGTTATCCGGAGTTCACTGTACTAACTTTGCTCAAGATCCAATAATAATAAGTAAATAATCCTTGGATTTAATATAAAGCCTATAATGTCAATATGTCTGACAGCGCTTTACAAGCAATTGCTGTCAAGTTCATTTACCATATGTCTGTACGCAAACATAGCAGTCGATTTTCACTCAGCAAGTCCCACAGACAGCTATGAAGCATATGATAAATTTAGCAGGAGGACTGTTGGTGGAACAAAGGTGAAAGAATGTAAGGGAGAACAGGCTGTTCATCTTTACTGTGCAATTATAGAACAAATTTGTATTCAAACATAATGGACAAAGAGTGCAGGAAGTTACAAGCAGATATTGGAGTCCTGTAGCTCAGTGGTTAGAGCACTCGCCTTGCAAGCAACAGACCTGGGTTCAATTCCCAGCAGGGTGAAACCTTGGGCAAGTTTCCTTACTCCACACGCCTAATAATAATCCCTCCAAAAAACAAAACAATAGTAAATCGGTCATTTTCAATCCACAAATGTTTGTGGGACACTGCTGTGCGCAATTGGCTGCCACGTTTCGCCCACAAGTATATGGTCAATTCACTTTAGAGTATATTCTGTGAAGCGCTTTGAGAAGTCTAGAAGACGTGAAAAGCATTATATCAAATGCAAGGATTATTATTATTCACAGGTTATTTGAGTGAACAGATTGGCGCAAAATGGAGTTCAATATAGATGTGAAGTGATGGATTTGGAGGAAAAGGAGATGGTGCAGAATTACAATTCTCAATGGAGCAGAGGAACAGAGGGATCTGAGAGTACAATTACATATGGGGTAAAGTTCCACCTACATCTAAATTATAAGAATAACAATCTTTGCATTTGATATAGCACCTTATCATATCATTGAAGTTCTTCTCAGGATATACAGTAACGTGGATTGCCTGTGTATTTTGTGGGCGAAATGCGGCAGCCAATTTGTACACAACAATTTCCCACAAACATCCATGGAATGAAAGACCAAAGCTGCTCACTGCTCATCCAGCTGGGCGCACCCTACCTTTGGGTTTTGCTTGCAGGATTAAAAGAAGTCGTGTTGGAATAATCCCTGCTGTAGGTCTGCCCCTTCAAATCCGGTCGATCAACAAGGCTGGCTCGTCTGTCATCAATAATGCCCTGGAGTACTGCGAGCCTGCCCGGCTCGATTCTGACATTCTGTGACCAAGCATTTCACCTTGGAGTGTCACCTGAGCTCCAAGGAGACCCTGCTTACCTTCCCCTCCAAGGAGGTTAGTCACCAGTTTTTCAATTACAAATACATACAGAGTAAAATAATTCTGTACCTATCATCCTGAATATGCTGGACAAATAGCACATGAATTCTTTGGAAACTTTCCTGAACAAACTGAATTCTAAAGATGGCTCTGCAGCCACAGAAAGCCAAGAATCAGAAGAAACACAAGGCACTTTGATCTTTGATCTCACAAGATGTTCTGATGTTATTTTAACAAAAAAATCTGCCACTCCTTGTGAACCTCTAAACTTGTAACCCAAAGACTACCAACTCCACATCAGAACTTGAACTCATAGTCTAGGTTAACACTGCCTTGCAGGACTGGGGAACTGCTGCAATATTGTTGAAATTATTTTCAAAATGCTGTAATGTGTTATAAAATGCAATGTATTTTTTCTTCCAATTTACTAACAAGTGGAACATCAGTTTCCTAATATTCTTATTGAAGAATCTTCAAAGCAAAAAGGTTCGCAGATTTAGTAAAATGTACAACTATTTGAAGGTTTACTTAATTCCCAATGTGTTTTTACAGCTTTTCAGGTCTGTGACAGAGGGACTCAGCTTTCCTTCTCTTTGCTATGTGATGTGGTTCACTGTACTGTGGATTAAACTCTCTTCACCAACATGACATGCAGGAGCAGCCATTGTCCTTGGGATGTGCTTGGAACTGTTTCTGCAATAATTCAACCGCGCATTAAAATATTAATGGCTAACTGATTTAATCGATTAATATTAATGAATGAAGAAATGAATTAATTTATTTAAAGCAATTAAACTAGCAGCGCTTACAAATATTAGAAGATGTGTTGAAAATTGGAATGTGTGATGTGTCAATTATCACCGGTGATCATTATCATCCTGTTGATAAATGGAGTTGAGCTGGTCGATAAGAAGTCTGGCCACAAGTGTGACCCCCTCTACTCTGTAACAGAGACTGGGCTGAGGTGGAAGGGGGAGAGTCACGTGTCATACCTGCAATAAGTCTAATTACTAAATATCTTGGTCACATTTATCAACAATGGGTTATAATTAACACAATTTATTTCATAAAAAGCAGCTTGTTGCTGTGATGGGAAGATGGGTAATTCTGGAGTTCAGATGTATCTGAGATGCCCATTTGCATCATTTTACTGCTCACAGTCTGAAGGTTGATTGCAAGCCCCACGTCTAGACCTGGCTTGAATGTCGCATCCAAAGGACAACACCTCCAATGCAAAGCACCCCAGCACTGCATTGGAGTGTCAGCTTAGACTGTA